GCGTCCCACGGGGAGGGAAAAGGGGCTCATCCTGGGAATGTGGGGACTCCCTCGGAGCGTGGGGACCCTCCGGCATCGCTGCATCCCATGGGGAGGGAAAAGGGACTCATCCTGGGAATGTGGGGACACCCTCGGAGCGTGGGGACCCTCCGTGGGGACCCTCCGGCATCACCGTGTCCTGCAGGGTGGGAGCAGCGGGGGCTCCTCAGCCCCCTGTGCCAGCCGGGATGCAGGGTGTGGGCACGGATCCGAGTTTTCCCAGTTGGGATGGGCTCTGCAACCCAGGACATGCCCCAAAAAACCCCCACAGGAGTGGCTGCCTGGCACGGGCAGGTTGGATCCTGTACCATCCCTAATGGAGCATCCCGGGACTCCCCTTTCCCAGGATCTCCCCACAACATCCCAGCAGCAAATGGTTCTGTATAATTCCTTATTAATATTCATTAAGGAAAACATAATGAGCTCTCAGGGCTGCTGGGGGGTGTCAGGGTCCCCATATTCCCTCAGCAGAGCTGGGGGATCCCTGATCCCCACCAGCATTCCAGTGTTGGCTCCAGTCACCTGGTTCCCAGGTCACGAAGCTCCATGGAGCAACTCCCAGTTTATTTATCCAAGGAAGAAAGGGGGGAAAAAACCCCAGCAGTTCCCAAAAATCAAAGGTTCTGGGTGGGGTTTTCTCCCATTTTATCCCGGCTCCCCTGACAGAGCGGTGCCAGCAGAATTCCTGCACCTCCTTACCCCGGAGATGTCGGCCACCCGGTGAATCGGCACCTCCTTCTTGCTGTGCAACCCCTTCCCGTTCTTGATAGCCCTGGAAAACAGGGAGCACCGGGAGTCAGCACCTGCTGCGGTGGGAAGAGCCGGAGTCATCCCTGTGCCCACCGGGAGAGCCCGGGCACTGCAGCTGGATAATCCCAGTCATGGGAATAAGGTCTTCCCGGGATAATATGGAGGCAATGAGGAGGCTGAATGAGGGAATACCTGGAGGGCACTGAAGGGATTGGAAAACCCAGTGGGATGGTGGAGCTGGTGCTGGGCCTGGACCTGATGCCAGACCTGGACTTGTTGCCAGTCCTGGACCTGATGCCAGACCTGGATCTCCTGCCACAGGGTTTGGCATGGGAGGCTGGGAAAGGCCGGATTGTGCCGGGAGGTTGGAGGAGCCCCCAGCACAGGCAGTGCAGTCTGGGATGTGACTCCGGGCTCCAAGGGATCACCCCAACTGCTCTGAGCCCCCCTGCACTGGGAGATCTGGGCCTTGCAGATCTCATCCCAAATCTCCCATTCCCTCCATCCCTGGCATCGCCCTGGGGCCGCCGGCTCTTCTGCCAAGTGCCAGCACAACCACGGAGTCGGGATGTGCCAGGGATTCCGGCACGGACAAGCCACCTCCACCACCAGCCCCGCACCGGGAGTGAGCGGGAACATCCAGCACCTCCACGGTGGGCACATCCAGGATGAGCCCCCCAGCACCTGCAGTGCTGCTCCAGGCTCCACGTGCCACATCCCAGCCCGGGTATCCCAGTGCCTGACTGGGATCTCGCCCACACCGCAGCGCTCCGAGATGCTGATTTCCTGCCAGGCCTCCCAAAACGCACATCCCAGGAATGAGCCCCCGAGCAATCTGCCGGCCGCCCACCCCGCGGACACGGAGCCGGGGGGGACGGGAGCGGGAGAGCCCGTTTATCCGGATTGATCCGCCCTTTCCCTCAGAAGCGAGAGCCTCGCCCGGGAACGCGCCTCAGCCCCCTCCAAGCTGCTCTTCCCGGCTCTCGGCATCGTGCCGGGATCTGCTGCCAAAGAGGAGCTGAGATCCCACATCCCGCTGGGCTCGGCTGTGCCAGTGCCACCTCCGGAGCCGCCGGATCCAGCCGAGCCGGAGAGGGAAGGGCATCCATTGGCATTCCTGTGTGCCATCCAGGAGGACGGGCTGAGGGACAGGGACACGGGGACATGGGTGGATGTGGGGGGTTCCCAGCACCGGGATCATCCCTGTGGAGCGGCGAGGGTTGGGAACAGCGATCCCTGCGGAGACGGGGGGTGGGGGGGGCACCGGGACACAAGGGGGGGCTGAGCAGTGGGATCACTCCACAGGGAGCTGGGAACACCTGGAACACCTGGGCCAGGAAGGGCTGGGGACAGACAGACGGACAGGGACACGGCTGGGAGGGGACGGGGGGACACGGGACATGACAGGGGGACAGGGAGCAGCTGTGCCCCCAGGGAGCAGCTGTGCCGGGGGACAGGGAGCAGCTGTGCCGGGGGACAGGGAGCCCCTGTGCCCCACTCACCGCGCCTCGGCCGCCAGCAGTTCATCGTAGTGTGCCGAGCGCTGGTCGTCGTCCTGCCGGTACCGCAGCACCGTGGCCAGGCCTTTGCTCACCAGCGCCTCGGCGATGTTGCTGTGGGGGCACAGGGTGGGGGCTCAGCACCGCTCTGGGGGGCACTGCCAACCCCTGACCCCACCCCGGCTCTGGAGACTCCCCCCATCCCATCCCATCCCATCCCATCCCATCCCATCCCACCCCATCCCATCCCATCCCATCCCACCCCATCCCAACCCAAACCATTCCACAGTGCCGCCAGGGGAAGGGGCCTGGAGAGACGTGTCCCAGGAACTGGGCACAACGGGAGGGCCCCGGGGGATCCCCGACACGGTGGGGGGTCTCCCAGGAGCACCCCAAAACCCCGATGCCACCCCAAACCTGCCCACCCAAAAAACCCGATGCCACCCCAAAAACTTCGCCCAGCCCCAGAACTCTGACACCACCCCAACTCCCCCCACCCCAAAACCCCCACCCCAAAACCCAGCAGGCTCAGCGTCCCCAGGCCATGGTCCTCCCTGATTCCCTAATCCCATGGTTTTTTTAAGGGAGAGGGGGGTGAGCACCAGCTGGGGGAGGGGGCACCACCATCGCCAACTCCCCCCCCAACACACCCCAAAACTCCCAAACCCCCCTAAGGTCCCCCCATCACCCCAAACCCCGTGGGGTGACACCCCCAGGCCATGGGAACTCCTCCTCGATTTCCCAATTTTTTCCCTGGAGTGGGGGGGGGGTGGCACCAGTTTGGGGGGCTGAGGAGGGGTCACGTGTGAGGCTGGGGGGGCTCCATCCCACTCCACTGCTTTCAGTAGATCCATAAATCCTCCTTTGCCGGGCGCATCCCTAATTCTCCAATTACCCGCCCGCTAATTCCCTCCGTATCCTAAAAGCCGTGGATATGTTTGTGCACTTCCATTCCCGAACCCCGGGCAGAGGGGGAAGGGCAAATCCATCACCGGGAGCCAAAAATAGGTCTCGGAGCAGGGGGAGGAATCAAAAAATTCGGGATTGGCGAGCCAGGGAACGGCTGCGGCGGGAGCAGCTGCGGCAGCGCCGGGAATGCCGAGCACTGGGAACGGGCACCTCCGGCTGCTCTGGGAATGAGCGGGAGGCTGGGGGGGAAGGGCTGGTGGCCCTGGTGGCCCAGGGGCCCCTGACACTCCCCATTCCAGCTGTATTCCCACTCCCCATTCCAGCTGTATTCCACCCCCATTCCAGCTGTATTCCACCCCCATTCCAGCTGTATTCCCACTCCCATTCCAGCTGTATCCCACCCCCATTCCAGCTGTATTCCCACTCCCCATTCCAGCTGTATTCCCACTCCCCATTCCAGTTGTATTCTACCCCCATTCCAGCTGTATCCCACCCCCCATTCCAGCTGTATCCCACTCCCCATTCCAGCTGTATTCCACCCCCATTCCAGTTGTATTCCCACTCTCCACTCCAGCTGTATTCCCACTCCCGATTCCAGCTGTATCCCACTCCCCATCCCAACCACATCCCACTCCCTATCCCAGCTGCATCCTGGAAAGGAGATAGGGAAGTGTTCCCCTGTCCCCCTCCCTGGGCCACTGGAGAGGCTGGATGCTCTGGAGATGTCTCAGCATTCCCAGCATTCCCACACACAGAATTCTGCTGCTTCCAAGTACCAAAACACCCTCCCCAAGCTGGAAATCCTGGGAAAACCCTGAATTCTTCCCAGACTTAGAGCTTTTAAGGATCAGAATTCCCACAGAGACTTATCCTGGTACCCTGGGAGGTGTTCTGGGAGCACTGGGATGGAACCAGACCCCTTCCCACTGCCGGAAGGAGGGTGAGGAAGAGGGAAACAGGGATAACGGTTTAAAGAAGGAATTCCAGCCTGTGAATTCCATATCCCCCCCCTCCAGCCCTGCTCCCTGCCCCTCATCTGGGCCCAGGGAGTGGGATGCATCCCCCCATTCCCACCTCAAAGCTCTGGAAGTGGAGCCAGAGCCATTGGGCAGAGGGAAGGTGGATCCCCCATCAATCCCAGATCAAAGAACGGGAATATGGTGGGAAAAATCTCCTTAGGCCAAAAGATTCCAATCAAAGCAAAACATGGCAATTTTGAAGCTTCTCCCAGAACTCATTTCCCAGTTTTTCCACCCAAAATCTCACAGGAAGTTCCGGAGGGGTGTTGGAATTCCCACACCGCAGCCTCTGCCAGTGCCCGGCATGGATTGGGATCAGGATCTGCAGTGCCAAACCCACTCCCTTCCCAAAATTCACTGTTTGGGCCAAATCAGCCCCAAACTGCAGCATCCAGCCCTGCTGCCCCAGGGAAGGAATCTGCCTGATCCTGCCTGGAATTATACCAGGAATTAGAGTGCAGGGTATTCCCGAAATTTGGGTTTAATTATTTTTAGGAGCTTTTTCTTCCAAGGATTTGTGGGATTTGCATCTCAGCAGCTTCAACACAGAGCTGTGGGAAGCTGCAGGATTCTGTGGGATGCTGCAGGATGCTATGGAATGCTGTGGAATTCTGGGGATGCTGTGGAATGCTGTGGAATTCTGGGGATGCTGTGGAATTCTGGGGATGCTGTGGAATTCTGGGGATGCTGTCCCAGCAGCTGCTCCCTCCTCCCCCTGGCCCCCCTGGCCGTGGAACCATTTCCCTTTCCCAACATCCCGGCTCTGAGCCCAATCCTGCCCTCACCAGAGCCCCGGGAATGCAGGGTCAGGAGTTTGGGAAGCACTGACCCAGCACAGCGGGATGGGCAGGGATGGGAGAGCTGGAGGGAGCATTCCCGGGGCAGGGATCAGGCCAGAAACATCGAGGAGATGGAAAGGAGAAGTGGGATGGATGGATACAGGGATCCAGCAGGAATACAGTCAGGGATCCAGGCAGGAATATGAGCAGGGATACAGCAGGAATACAGGCAGGGATGCAGGTAGGGATACAGGCAGGGATATGGATAGGGAACTAGGCAGGAACATGGGCAGGGATCCAGACAGGGATCCAGGCAGGGATGTAGGCAGGAATATGGGCAGGGATCCAGGGAAGAATCCAGGCAGGGATCCAGAAGGGATACAGGCAGGGATACAGACAGGGAAATGGGCAGGGATCCAGGCAGGAATCTGGGCAGGGATCCAGGCAGGGATGCAGGCAGGGATATGGACAAGGATCCAGGCAGGGATATGGACAAGGATCCAGGCAGGGATATGGACAAGGATCCAGGCAGGGATA